GCCGCACACGCACACGCACACGCACACGCACACGCACACGCACACGCACACGCACACGCACACGCACACGCACACGCACGCGCACACGCACCCGCACGCGCACGCGCACGCGCACGCGCACGCGCACGCGCACGCGCACGCGCACGCGCACGCACACGCACACGCACACGCACACGCACACGCACACGCACACGCACACGCACACGCACACGCACACGCACACGCACACACACACACAGCCTGCTTGGTGATGAGTCACAGGCAAGTGCAGAACGGTAATTTCAAAGTACGTGATGATACCCTTGGTGCCAGCTAAACAACCATGATCGAGTTCATCAGTGCCACACCCTAGCATGTAGTCTGAGCGCATAAGTATGCGTGTGATGCATATGTTTCTCTATACAAACATATGCAACTCTACACTCACACCTGTGCATATATACTCGTATATATATATATATACACATACAAGTTCATGTATATCTGAATATCTATATCTACATATATGTATATATGTATATATTCATATATCTATTATACTCAACCAGGACCACAACAATTTATAGAACCATACATCTATGTTTTTTTGGTTGGCTCTTGATTTTCACATTATTTATGTCAGTGTCATTGTTGTTGCTGTTATTACCACTTTCAACACCGTACATGTGTACAAAGCACAAGTATGCATACGCGCATGACACATGCATATTGTTCGAACGTTGTAGTGCCTGCGATTAAGAAACCGGCTATGTCTCACACACGATGGCCATGTGGACACATGGTGAACAATGAGTAGGCATACGCGTCATGAGTTATGCTGTTCTGGACTTCGTTCTCTGACTTGCACTGGTGCTCGCATCGATCTGCTCAATATGGCTGACGAGGTTGGGAAAGGCCAAGCCTTGGACACCCTAAACGACAAGCATGAACGCAGCGCACCTGAAGCACACTTTGGCTGACATAGGTCCATAGGGTCCTGGTTCTATCCCGCCGGCCGAGGCTTCGACAAGCCCGGGAACATGAGCCCTGCCTTCTCCACGGGGTTCTGGCCTGAGGTCGGAAAGGGAGTCGTGGTCCCACGCCATAGACCTCAAAGGAACCTTGCAGACTCCTCGGACCACTTTTGGTGTGGCTGCTATTTGGGCCTCGGAACTTTTGCTTGAGGGGTGCGGGTTTGGAGGTGGACAGGGCCCTTTGCAAGTCAAAGGTGGAACTGTGAGGGGGTCATCTATTTTTGGAAAGCCAATACTCATTGCTTTGTGATTCAGGGGCCCAAACGGACGCTTAAGGTCAAGGCCAGGGGTATCAGGTGCCGTGAGTCGTAGTCACGATGAGCGCGATGCTTCTGGATACCAGTTGAGTTTGCCTCATCAGTTGTCCGGGCTCGGCCTCAGCACACGGACAGTCGAACCTGGATGTTTGGGGCATGCGGCGAACGCCCAACAACCACTTTTTGACGAGTTGTGTGCTACTGGCGCTTCAATGGATGGCGGGCCATGTCTCACTGAGGGGAAACCCCACCTTCAACTCTAGCCGCTTGGCCTTGACGCTGGGCGCCGGGCCCTCGGGGTCCGAAACCCGAAGAAAGGAGCCCAAGGGATGGATTATGGCTCATGAGCTGTGCACTTCAGGAGACGCGACGAAAAAGGTTGACCGCTCGAATAAATATTTTGTTTCCACAACTTTAAGCCTTGTTTGAAGTGAAGTCTAGGATCTGAACGAGCGAGCCGGTAGGATCCACACCTGGAGTTTCCAAGCTATCCGGACGAGTTCTTCACCCAATTTCGCTTGCTTAAGAACATCGTCACCGGAGGATGACCGCCTTTTATTCTTTGGATTTTTGAATTCAAGTTGGTTCGTGACCGGAGGATGACTGCCTATTCACGAAAGCTAGCTTTAGCTAGCTGAAGTTTCTCCTTGCGTAAGCAAGGTAAGGGGCTCAAATGCCGAAAGATTGATTTTTTCAATTATTTGAGCCGAAAAGATTGAAAAACATCAATCATTTAGACCCCCCCCCCCTCCCCCCCCCCCCGGTCTCAGGCTCGATTCCTCCCTGGTCCATCCCCCAGGCAGTGGCTCAGTGTTCAGCAGTCTCGGTTTGCCCGTTTTGGACTTGGTGCTACGAACTTTTACATGTTCCACCGATTCAGCTTGTTCATTTGAGACCTCAGTCTTCTCGGTAAACCACCTCGCAAGAATCTTTGCACACGCAGCATGCAGAACCCAGAGGTGCTTTGAGACAGCTTCTGACGCCTCTCGTTGTTCATTTTTCAAGGTTTGCCACGCCACCATGTGCGTTTGCGTGTCGCATCCTACGAATCTTGCCGGGCCTCTCGTTGTACACAAGCTACCTATGAATCCACTCTGTCACCGACCCATCTCATGCAACAACTGCTAGCTTTCGTTCACCCGCTCCTCAAGTGTTGGGATTCCTGAATTCAAGTTGGTAAGGTGCAACTAGTGCAGCGAATGGCCGGAACTGGCTTTCTGAGTGCCCAGGCCGTCAACAGCAATGAGCCGTACCAGGAGCCGTTTGGGCACGAAACGGGCTTTGTGTGGGTCGCTCAAGTCTTGGTGCAGCTTCTTATTCCGAAGGAACACCTAAAACCTTGGAGTATTGAACTTTCCATAATTCTTCGCAAGTGCTGATGATGTGATTAGATTTTACACAACTGCAAATCGCGGCACTTGCCGCGTGAAATAACCGGCCGCCTTGCTCGGCGCGGCAGGATCCAGGCCTTTGCTGGGCAGAGAGTAGCTGCGGGCTCTTCACCAGCCTGTCGCCCAGGCTCCGCATGTGATGTGGCTGTGGGTCACTTGTCCGTATTGGGAATCTCCTGAGGCGAGAGATGCTGACTTCGCCGTTTCCTTGAGAAACTTCGTGAGCACGCTTGCGTGAACTGGGATAAAACCCTCCAGGAAGAGCAAGCCGAATACCAAATGTAGAAAACAGATCTGCGCCTTGAGCTAAACTGAGGCAAATCGAGTGTTTCAATCCGCGCCCTGTATTGGGCTATCCACCGTTGGGTTTTTGTGTTTTTTTGGGGTTCCCTTTTTCTTGTTTCTTTTTACGGTTTCGTTGGCCTAGGCGCCGTGAGACAACCCTTAGTCCGTTCCACCTTTCACAATGAGTCACTCGGTCGCCCCATGGGCTCCCGAGTGATTCGGAGCACGTTCAAACGGCTGTGGGTCAAAAAATAGACACCAGAAACGGAATCCTGCTAAATGGAATGGACAATCTTGCGATCCCCTGGTGGTTTAGCTTTGGGTTTGTTTGAGGCCACTTGATCCACTTTGTGGCTCTACCTCCTGAAAGCTGGGGGTGCTCGTTCGAAGTGCGGAGATCCCTTGGTGTTTCTCGAGGCCGGATCCGACGGCCGGCCGCCCAACCAGACGGGTTCGCCTTCGCTTGTCGCCTTGCGCCAGGCCTGCGACCAAAGTCCCAGGCTGCAGGCCTGCGCTCCGCGGGAGAAAACCAGCTCACTGATTCTGGCTTGGGGATTCCTCTGATTGGGTTTCTGGGAAACGGTAATGTGGGTATGGGTCAAAGTGAAACCTTGGTCAATCTTTCCATTTATCAGGGTTCCGTGTTGGGGTTGCCCTATTTTTGAGCACCCCTCTGGCCCGGCAAAGAGATGGCTTGTTCTGTGACTTCCTCTTGTCAGGAGAACCCTTCGATCCTCAAAACGGAGCAAACGCTTTGCAAGGAAACCCTCTAGGGGATCCATGTTGTTAGTCCGTTGAGTAGATCAAGAAGCAGTTTGGGGTGGCAGAGTTTCCCTTGCCCTCCTGCTAGGTTTCTTGATCTTTTCGACCAGATTCTCCGGTGTGGAGACTCATACACCAGCCCTGTCAGATTCCATGTGAATTGGTGGGAGGTATTCGGAACATGAACAAGGACCCGACCTCTCGCAGCATTCAAAAGGGAGGCGGCTGCCTCGCCGCTTTCTCGTCCCTCAGACCGCAGGATCCTGCTTCGATGCTCTTCGGATGCCCGAAGAACCTTTGTGAACGATATGCAAATTCCATACGAGTTTTACACAAGTTCCACGTAACATATGAATCAAGTGCATACTCGCGATTCCAATACTTAACTTGTTGGGGGTTCCCTTGAACGACGAACGTAGACATTTGCGCCATGAGTTTAGTTTGTTAGCGTGTTCCCTTGAACGAGGATCGTAACAACATGCGCTGGAACATTTCGTGACATGCGCTTAGCATGCGGAGGGCTTCCCAACGACGAAGGCAAAAAAAGAAGCACGGGACGCCGAGGTGAAACATGGGGAGGCCGATGATTTAGGCATCCGCCTGCCAGGGCCTTCCTGGACACTCCGGAGGCCGACCACGCGGAGTGCGCTCAGAGTTTTGGCCGTCGCCCGGGCTTTCAGCTTTCCCGGTTTGGTTGGATTGGCGGTGCGCTGAAGGGGGGAAGGAGCACCAGGAGATGTTGGCATCAACCTAGACGGAGCAATGATTTACACCAACTCTAGGTGTTGGGTCATGTGAATTGGTTTGGGGTCTAAGAAGGTAAAGCTTGATTCCGGCGCAGACAAATCTCAATTAGAGGGGTGAATGCCGCACGTGGCAGCAAGAAAATCGTGGCAGCGCAACGATGCCGGCCAGGTATTTGCAGAATGTCAAGGACTTCAAGCACGCCCTGACGCTCCGCCGCGGAGCCCCGCTCTTGGATGGGTGTGGATGCGTTTTCGTGTTCGGGATCCCAACCGCCTCCCAACGGTTTGCTTGAAGAGGTTTTGAGGGTCCCATTTGCTGATTCATCCCTTTGACACATTGACAGTCACAGAGCTGTTGTCCTCTGATTCAGTCAGCGCGATACCCCATGACAAACAAGAGCAAACAAGAAGCATACGCTTGGCGACGCTTTTATGTAACTTTTGGTCAATTGATGCGTGCCCTGCATGTATATATTGTATATGGTGTGTGGTGCTACTTCTTGGGCGAAATGGGGGAGATGGGGGATCGTCCCCGATTGGGATGGGTGCACTTCAGCTACGTGTTTCTTCAGATGGGTACTATTAATATCTCTTTTATGGAACTACCCTCCGACCCTTTTTACATGGAACCTGAGAGGGTCCCTTTGAAAGGAGAATGGCCAAACCAGGACCCCCCCCCTTTACGTCAGGTTCCATGTAAAACGGGTGGGAGGGCAATATTTCGTGCAGCACTAGCTCACCTATGCCCAGCCCGTAGGCCCGACGACCTCAGCACGGGCGACGGGTGGTCGCTGGCATCCCAGGTTTGGAACGGGCCGAAGGATCCGCAAAGAATGGAGCAATTGAGCCACGTCTAAACCCATGGGTAGATGAAGGCTTGTAATGTTGACCCTGGATGAATCAAATCCTGTTTATTCATATGATATTGGGGGTGTCCCAGGTTTGAGTGGGGAGTTGGGAGCACCCCCAATCCGGGGTCAACATTAAGTCCCAGCCGTAAATGGGTGCAGCCGCCGTTTTAACTCTGGAGGTCCTGGGATTACGGCCATTTACAACCGATCGGTTTTGATTGTGGCTCAATTTAAAGGGAACCGAGACACAATGTGAGAGTCTGACCAAGGGGCTGAATCGCGGGCACCTTCCATTCACATCTAGGGAACAAATGCCGTCACTGAAGCATCAATTGCCTCATCATCCAGAGATGTCTATTACTGTTGAACATGCTGCTCGATTGCAATGTGCGCAACGCAAGAGCGGGTTGTTCTGTGTCTGTTTCAGTGTTTCTGTTGTCTCGGTGGGTCTTTAATTTGTCAAATAAATCCTGATGGTACGTAGCGAAGCGGCGCGTCCAACAGAGCCTCCCCGAAAGCCGAACTGCGGTTTCTCGAAAGCTTGCAGAAGCCCATCGCGAAAGTGCCCAGCGAAGGTCCCCGCCGCAACAGCCGAACCGCAGTATTCTAATCGGGAAGTTGTATTGCAAGACGCAGGGAGGTGAAGGCTCTCCCGTGTAGCAAGTCCTGTTTCTTTGTTTGATTTACACTCCCTCAGACAATCCAGGGTCCTGGCAGCTTCCATGTTAGCCTGGGGGAGGATAGGCGTGAACATGGTCAGAGCAAAAAAAAGAGTGCTTTCTGCGAAGGATGCGCGAAAACCCCACGAAAGCAAGTCTGATGGAAACAGTGCAAAACATGTGGTTGGTTTTTTTACTGCTCAAATGGACAAACTTGAGAGTGGGGTTGTTTGGCAGAAATCAGAGCTAAAGAGGACTTCAGACAAGCCAAGGAACGCTGCCTGTAGACGTATGGACGCTCTTTCCCTGGATGAAGATGGTAGACCAACCTTGGATCGGGCCCTTGCCGACGCGGGAAGGATTGCTCGTTTTGAGACTTCGCTGCCCGGCCCAGTCCGCACGAGTACCTGTCCCTGGAAGGTCTGCCGGCCAGTGTTCGGCTGACGTGCGCGCAAGTCTTTCCAAATCGTGCAACATCCGGGTATGGGTCAAAATTAAAATGCCAGGAGACCGCAAGTTTTGGTCCATGTTTCCTTACCGGGGTTCCATGTGGGATACCTATTTTTGACCCACAGCCATCTGCCGACCTTGGCTGAGAGGTCACGGTCCACTTCATTTCCCTGCCAACCATGTACTGAAAGGATGATGTTATTGAAGAATCTCGCCCTTCAGCGGCGCCCTGCTCATGGTTGAAAAGCTGCCGTCTGGCAACCCTCATGTTTGGGCCAATCCATTTCATCTCACCTTGGCGCATGTGGCCAAAAATCCAGCTCACACCAGGTCACAGGTTTCTTTGTTGTGGATCTCTGTGCAGGTAAGGCAGAACATGATGGCCACATGTCCCTCTTGTTTCACGAAAGGAATAAGGACAAAAGGTGCCGTGGAAGCATCCCCTCGATTCATGGCAAATCCAGGGCTGGGTGTTTCCTGGCCAGCCTCATCTCGGCCAGGCTGAGGCCGATGCATCCCAAGGCCCGCGCCTAGGCAGAGACGCCTGGTGCCTCCAAGTCATTTCAGTCGTGTGCCGTCCTTTGGATCGTTTATGGATTGAGCGAAACGGTCGTTTTGAAAGACTGGTCAAACATTTCCTGGAAGCGTCCAAGAGTTCCAAGTTCCTTGCAATGGTTCCAATGGCTGGAGGCGCGCCATTTCTTTGTAGAGATGCGCTTTCGCTTCCCTCAATGAATTTTCAATGTGCAGCTGACGTGGGATCAGCTGCGCTGTGTGGGCCAATGAGACAGCTTGGGTGACCCACAAATTACTGGCAGGTCTAGTCTGCAGCTTCATAAGGTGTGCCATGGCACGAGTTTGTCAGATGCGCTTCGAGGGAGGTTGCTGCTTTTCGGACCCCCTTTCGTGCATTGGGTTTGGTCACCCCGGTCCCCTTAGATCGGAGCCCGGCGCGTGACTAAGAGGCGCGCTCGCCCGCTGCCAAGCAGCGTTTGGGCGTCTGGCAAGATGCCGGCGGGCATCCGCTCCCGTAGGTCCGCTGCGCAAGCAGCGGAGAGCGGACCGGCGCCAAAGGAGTGCTGATGACATGCCGGAGGCAGACAAATGCGACACATCGGGCAATGGTGTGGGATGACTGGGTCGGGATGGACAAATTGTGCAGTGAGTTTGAATGACAGCAGTCTCCGTTCTGCCCGATGTCTTGCTCTGCCGTCCGTTGCCGTTTGGCTGGCTCTAAGCTCGTCTCAATTTCGGGCTGACGCCAGAGGCTATCATGAAGCATCCGTGGCCATTCAAGCAACCCAGCCAGACCCTATACCTTTCAGTTGCGGTTTTATGGCAATCACATGCGGCCGTGCCACCTGTTCACTCCTTGCACTTTCCGACAAAGCACGGAGTGATGACCAGCTTACTTATGATCAGCAGCACATCACAGCCTTTCCAGCCAGCCAGTGTGCACAACTGTACTGTCCTCCTCACTGCACTCAAGCAACGCTTGCCCGGCAAAAGCCCAAGCCTTTGTGCCTTCGGCGTTTCTCCGGCCTGGCACCATGCCTGGCATCCCAGCGCGGGCTTGGAGGGCGGCGGGTCAGCCTCGGCTAGAGGTATCCGTCTGAGCTAGAATCAAAACCTGGGTAGATGATGGTTAGGGACAGTCCCAGCCACAAATGGACGCCTGCGTCGCCCTTTCAACTCTGGACTTGGCTCCGGGATTACGACCAATTTAACACCGATCGGTTTTGGCTAGGACTTAATGTCAGGCGGTTTGGACAGGGAACCGAGACACCAGCGGAGTCTGCGGGGCTTAATCCCGGGCACCGAAGCCTCTCAGCATGCAGCTGAGGGACGCCGCTGCTGGGCTCCTCGAGGAGCTCCTCGAGGAGCGCAAGGCGGGGGACGAGCGAAACTCGCGTTTTGGAAGACCCAAAGTGGAGATTGGCAGTACACAGTCTCGCTATGGCCGGGCTTTGGTGAGCCTTTACATGGGTTTGGGGCAGACTCTTCGTGCCAAGTTTTGATTGTGACTCACTTTCTGCACCTGGCAGATGTTTGTACACATTCATCAACTAGAAGTCTCAGTTGACTCTGCAAGTACAATCCTTTCTGTTTCCCTTTTGCGGTGCGTTGTTGCAGTTTCGGGAGCTTGACCGGTCGCCCTTTCCCAGGCCCTCAGCGCAGCCCGGAACACTCAGAGGGATTGCGGATTGTGGCGGAGTCTGGCATCCGCAGTAGGCTTGTATCAGAGCGAACATGGGATTCTTTTCAGACGCGGGGACCCTGATTTCCATGGCATGGCAGCATTTGCCACCCGAAGCAACCACCCATCATGTAGGGGAATGGGCAAAGATTGGGGTTCTTTGTGAATTCGAGCAGCGAAGCTTCTTGGGGTTCCCTTGGAGGTATGCTCGCGGATCCTTTTCTTTTGGCTTCGAGAACCGAGGCTTTGGGCTTGGCCACCTTCGCCGGGCTCGGCGGCCTCCTGTGGCGCTGGAGGCCTGCGAGTCACAAGCCACGGGTGGCAGCTGCAAATCCATGGCCGGTCGAAGCGGGCGGCGCCGGAAGAAAGCATGGTTGACGCCAAGAAGTCCTTGGTTCAACAGGGCTGTTGGAAGAAATGGCTCTTCCATGTCACAGACCCTTCAAGAGTACCAAGAGGTTCTAAAGACGACAAGCAGACCCTTTGCTCATGTCGCGCTTGCGCAGGACACATCGTGCTCAATCGCTGAGACGCCCGTTTGTCCTGAAGGACTACAATGAAGAGGGGGGGATCTGCAGTGGGAACCCTGAAGCATGTTTGTATGGCTCGCCGCGGCGCAGGCATCTCACCCAAAAAATGAACAGGTTGCTCTGCGATGACTTCAAACCGCACGGAGGTGAACGGTTCAGCCGGAAGAAGTTCGGCGCTTGGGTCTTCGATGTACCCGAGGGATTGTCGGCAACCCTCTTAAATCGCGGCACAGGGCGACACCAGGGTCCAAAAAGGGGCTGTTTTTTTGTGACCAACCATGGGAGACGCGGGTTCTCCTTGGTTGTTGTGCCCCCAGGACCTCACTGCTGGTGAGACCGTGGAGGCGGTTCGACGAGTGGGTTCGACGAGGGTTTTGGTTGGGTATTGGGACCTGGGAAGGGGGGCAGTTTAGGTGGTGCGGATTTGTTGAAAGGCGTTCTTTCCTTTTCCAAAATCACAAGGCTTTGCCAACCAGAGACAGTTGGATGCTTATGTCAGGCACCCTTTCCCATTGCGATTTTCGGATCCTTTTTTTTTTTGGGGGGGGGGTGTCAGGACCCCAGTTCCGTTTTTGGAGAGAACTGGGGGAAGGTCGCGCCCTGAGGTCCAACCCACCAGGCTCCAAAGCACCAATCGGGGGTAAGGTGACCATAGCACAGACGACCGGGTCCCGAAGGACCCGCTCTCGGAGCTCACGAAGGTGGTGAGCTGGCTGCAGGAGCGCGCGCTCGCGCGAGCGAGTTGGGACCTTCCTCAAGTCCCTGACTTAGGATGGAACCCATTGGAAGGGCGGATCCCAGACCTTCCCTGAATTTGGTTTTGCTGCCCTACCTGATACGGATGGAATGTGTACTCCATCCTCCAGGTCTCTGCCATGCGTCGGTTGTCTCAATGGGGAGCTCGGCTTAGCAGCGGATTTCTTGATGACCACTTGATCCCAGCTCTCTTTTGGGAACCAATTGGGTATGGGTCAAGACTAAACCATCAGGGGACCGCAGGATTTAGTCCACGTTTCATTTACCATGGTTCCACTATGGGTAGCTATTTTTGACCCACAGCCAACTGATGGCATCTTCAGCAACGTCGCAGGACGAGATCATCCGACCCTTGGATGCTCGTTTGCCAGGAGCGGCTTTGTGGCTGTCGTGTCAGGGAGTTCACTTTTCAGGTTTTTTTTTTTTTTGTCTTTTTGTGTAGGCCGTTTGACCAGAAGAATATCAGCCTCCCTCTAATTCGTGGTTTGGATTGGTGGTTTGAGATTAGAGTTCCTGGTTCTTGTAGAAGGTACATGGGAAACCCCTCAATCACCAAACCACGCTCCAAACCACCAATTGCAGGGAAGATGAATCAAATACCTTCAGGCCGTCTTGGCTGGGTTTGCCAACCAGGCTCCAAACCACCATTTGCAGGGAAGCTGAGACCCTTGCAGCGACACCTCCTTTCTTCCCTCAGGCAAACCCTTTGAGCACGACCTGCTGGCCTTCCCCTTCACGCCCATGGTCTTGGTGGCGGGGCGGCCTGGATTGGATCGGGCGGTCGGTCCGATTCGATGGGTCCGATTCCCGTCGCTTGAATGGGACAAATTGGCCTCTGCAATGACCCTTCCGGCTTCCTTTTGCTTGCAGCATTTGCAAATTTGGTATAGAATTTGGCATCATGGATGGCACGCACTGCGGCAAATGTTGATCACGTTGCAGGACAGCCTGTAGAATCCAGCCTGCATCTCCTTGGTCAATTGTGGGGTGCCACAAGGATGATTAGATCAGAGTATAAACACCGGTATCTTTATTGCGGACTTTCAAACGCAGCTTCTGCTTTGTGGATTCAGCCATCTGACCAGGCGAACTTTTGCGCCCCGGTCAGTGGCACCCGATATGTTCGTGCCGCTGTTCTCGTGGCTACTTGGCAGGTTGGCAACCACTCGGCTGGAAAGCGCGCAGCCTATGCTGCGGTGGGTCGTGGGTGCGGTGATCAAGACACAGCGCAACCTGCAGAAGTCTGTACCCTCAAAGCCTCTCATTCTGATCCTTGTTTTAGTTTTTCTCGCTCTCTTTCGTACTCAAGCATCTTGCAAGCTGCTTTTGTAACATGAACATGACCCACAAAGTGCAGGAGCTGCTCCCGATCAAGCCCTTCCAACATGGCTTGGCCGTGCGTGGTTTTGGGCATTTTTTTTTCCAATACGATCGCAACCTCCAGCTGTGGGCGAGATTAATCAGCAAGAACTAAAGGCGAAGATTTGCGCAGAAGTGCAGGACGCTTGATTGGTCGGCTGATAGAGGTGCCTCTCTCAAAATTACCCTCACGGCGTTGAAAGTAAAGTCGCCCCTGAAAGTAACGTTGCAACCACGATATGTTCACTTTCTTGAACCCAAATGGCTCGGGTGGTACAAAACCCTTCTGTGAGGGCTTTGCGGCTTGCAGCCAGAGCAGCCGAGACCAACACAAGGATGCACAAAAACATGCGAAACCGGCAGATGACATGGAACGCCAACAGAGCTGCCAGAACCAGTGGAAAAGCAAGAGTCCTGTGCCTATTGTGTCCAAATGTGTCGCCTTCTTGCAGCATCACCCCGTCAACATGCCTTGTGCACCTTCCTTCCTTTCGGAACGTGACAGGAACCTCAGCGCCTCATTTGCCGGAAAGCAAGTCTCTGAATCTCTCGGACTTACAGGCCAGATAGGAGAATGTGTCAAGAACTTGCCCCATCACCCCAACCTCACTCCAACCCGAGCCAAACAACCCGTGCCAAAGCGGCGCGGGCGTTTTTCTCTTTCCGCGGTTCTCATGGCGCCATGCGCGTGGACAACAGCAGAGACCGGCGAGCTGAGCGCTCCCTGGTGCCGAATACGCGGTACGGCCGCGTGCAGCTCTGCCTGCGGGAAGCGGCCAGGCGGGGTGAGCGGCTCTGAGATGTTTGATGTTTGAATCTCCCAGCAAGTGCCCCAGACGTTGGCTCTTGCCTTCTTCTCAGTTGCCAAAGTCAAGAAAGCAGGAAAGCCCCTCTGAAAAGCTCTTCTTGAAGATCGACCGGGAGCAACCTTCCCACCGTGTCTGGCGTTTTTGGCGTGACAAGTTGCCCCGGCGCTTCAGGTGGTGCTGCCGGTCCCCCGAGTGGCCGGTGGGACCGGAGACGCAGGAGCTGCGGCGGCGGTACGCGGAGCTGGAGGCCCTGCAGCCCCAAAGTGAAGGAAAGGAAACCCCGGAACTTGTGGTCCGCAGGCTTGGAGCGGGGGGCCAAGCTGGGTGAAATGCGGAGAATCTGACCACTTTGGAGGGGAAAGCCCCCCCTAGTGGGACGTTTGATGCTATTGGGGTCTGTGCCGTGTATAGCTTTATGGCGGGGTCGACGTTAGGTCAAAAGCCAACCCACCAACCAGTTTCTGACTTTGACAAACAGAAATGGCCCAAAGTAATGACCCGCAGTTTTGCACCTTCACTTTTTCGGAGTTGGGTGAATTTTCTACTCACGAACACAAAGGACTCCGTAGAAAAAGGGCAGGAACCATTCAGGGGAATCAACTTGCAACTTTTCCCAGATTCAAGCACACTCGCGAAGTTATTATGTTGACTTCAAAGTGCTACTCCTTTGGCTCTTGACAGCGTGCTTGCAGGTCGTTGAGTTGGGTGGCCCTTTGTGTGTTTTGGCTCGAGCCGCGATGGGCTCAACGGGAGGTATGATCAAGGTGAAGAGGGTGGAGGGGGGATTGGGGTGCAGTGCAAGGGGGACCAGGAAACAAATGAAACACGGCCACATGCGCCAGACCAGCTACGAGGGCATCATGACACTGCGGTCGGGCAAGAGCCGCTTGGCGTGGAAATGGCTCGGACACAGTTTCGGACCTTTTGGACGGGGGGCTGCGTTGCAAGTGCCCATTGTGTTACCTCGAGTCGAAGCAACGGAGCCGCTGGCCTTGTCAACCGGTCCCTTTTGATCGATAGGCATCGATGCCTACTTTGTGCACGGCAAGGAGCTGGGCCGCGGCGGCTTTGGCACCGTGTGGCAGGCCCAGCCGTGGGTCGGCATTGCCATCCATGGCGACTTTGGCATGCCCGAGTTCAACATGTTTCGTAGGTTGAGCATGTTGAGCCGTAAGCATGGCTCGCAGGCAACCTGTTTACGTTGGAAGGCTTGTCAGCCACACATTTCCGCACATGGGGGACTAACGCCGCTGGGTCGCCGGTTGCGTCGTTTCAGCCGAGAACTCGAGCTGATGACGTGCGTGTCGAGTGTTTGCCGCTTGACTCTCTACAAGGGGAAGCTATCGAATTCGAACTGACATGCAGATTGAGTGTTGGCTGCTTCTTGACTCTGAGGGGGGGGTTACACCCGAGCAGTCGAGTGGATCCAGTTCCGGTCAGCGGCTTCGAGCTTTGGCCAGGCCACGCCCACGCGGCGGGCGGTGAAGGCCCAGCCAGCGCTCTCGGAGAAGAAGAGCTACGCCGTGAAGAGGGCGGGGGAAGGGCCTGGAGAGGGAGCGGAAGGGCTCTTTTCTGCTTTTTTTTGGGCTTGGACCCCAACAGGGCTCTTTTCTGCTTTTCTTTTTGGCTTCCCTTTGGACCCCCCCCCCTCCCCCCCAAAAAGAAGCTACAACAGGTGGCACCAACTCCAAATATCAGTTTTTTTCTCCAAAAACAATGGGAATCCCCTTTTGGATCAGTCGAAGCCAAAAGGAGAGCAGGATCTTGAAGGGGTCCACCGCATTTTGCCACCGGAGCTCCCCACTCTTGAGTCAGGTGAAGCTCCCGCTGCGGGACCGAGACTTTGAGATGATCTCCAAGAGCTTTCTGAGCATCAGCACCCAGCGGATGCTCCACTTCCTGCAGGCCGGGGTTCGGGCGGTTTGGGGGGTTTGGGGGGTTTGGGGGGTTCGGGGTTCGGGGGGTTTGGGGGGTTTGGGGGGGTTCGCGAAGGGCGTCCTCCTTTTAGTAGCAAAGGGCTTCCTTCTAGTTTCCTTTTCGGAGCAAAGGGCACAAATGCCACTTGTCAGCCTTGGGGAAGAAGCTGGGAAGCTGCTGCCATGCACCACGGTGTGGCGCATTTCCCGTGGCTTGTTTCGCAGCAAGTCATCTATTTGCAGCACCCACCCTACTGTAGTGGCCAAGATGTTTCTGAAACCCAAGCAAGTCTTTTGAAGCCGGGGGGCAGGGTTACTGGGTTACTTCTTCGGACCGAAATGCTACCCCATCTGGGCTCAGAGCATCACCCCTCTCCTTCGCCTCTGTGCGCCTGCTTTCTGCTCGGCTGGGCAGGTCATTGGAAGCGAGGAGGCGACGAAGAACCACGTCACCCGGAATCTGCTGCGGAGACTTGGTGTTTTGCCCGGGGATGACGCGGACGGCTTGGACGAGCGGACGCCGGTTCGTTTTTTTTGACTGTTGGCATTTTGGGCCACGAAGCCGACAGGGGGGGGTGACACGATGAGCAGATTGGGGCTCAAGCAGATCGGGTGACGGAGAGAATCAGCCTGGCCATGGCGCAGATGGTCTCCGTGATTGTGGCAGCGACGCCCAAGAACGGCATCGGCAAAGATGGGGCTTTGCCGTGGAAGCTGCCAGAGGACCAGGGCTACTGGCCCAGGCCGAAAGATGCTTGAAGGAGGTTCAAGCATCCCCAAACAGCTTCTGCTTGACTTACAAAAGCTCGCCGCATGTGGCGGGAGGGGGGGGGGGGCATTCGCAAATTCACCCTGATCACCCTTTGCAATTTGAAGCTGATGTCGGACTCCGCCTTGCTCCGATCCGCGCAACATGTCCAGGACATGGCCCACTTCAAGCGCGTCACCATGGCGGTGGAGTCCGATGGCAAGCAGAACGCCGTGGTCATGGGCCGCAAGACTTGGGAGTCCATCCCCCAGCGCTTCCGGCCGCTGCCGGGGCGCCTGAACGCCTCCCGGCCAAACAAAGTTCATACAGGGTTTGCTAGGATCGAGCAGGAGCAGTTTTTTTTGAGGTTCTTCAGTGTTCCCGTGTTTGGGGCCAAAGCATGATGATTGTTTCACAACTTGTTCACCAGATGAGCAAGTTGTGGATTACTCACACACTGTCAGCGTTTGAGACGCGTTGACCCAAACGCTTGAGGTGGTCCTGACCTCGGGCGACGCCTTGTACCCGGAGGGTGTGATCGCGTCCTCCTCCCTGGAGGTGCTGGGAATCTTCCCTTCCCCAAAATGTTTGTGGCTCAAAAACAAGTCCGGTACCCAAAATGGCTTGCCCTGGTAAGTGGAAACATGGACCAAAACCTGCGGTTTGCCCCTCCTGTTCAATTTTGAGCCACGCCCAAATGAGACTCTGTGACCCATGTTTGAAGGCTCGGATCGGACCGGCTTCAGCCATGGCCTAAGCCATGTCCCGCGGCCAGGTGGCGCTGGAGACACTGTCCAAGCGCAGTGATGTGGCGGAGGTCTTTGTGATCGGCGGGCAGCAGGCTTACAAGGCCGGGGAAGGGCCATTAAGGGGAAGGAGTGGTTCGGTTTCCAATGGGAAGTGGGGTTTGAGCCAGGTGCGCACCCATGCTGGCTGACGTCATAAGCACTACATGGCGCCTAACGCACACCCGGGTAGTTATTCGTCAACATTCAAAGAGTTGACGGTTGATGAATCAGCAGAAGCAGAAGCAGCAGCAGCAGCAGCAGCAGCAGCAGCAGCAGCAGCAGCAGCAGCAGCAGCAGCAGCAGCAGCAGCAGCAGCAGCATCATCATCATCATCATCATCATCATCATCATCATCATCATCATCATCATCATCATCATCATCACCATGCTTGGCTTGACATTTCACAGCGGATGCGCGATGCCGCTGAGGAGGCTATGGCACTCCCAAGCTGCGTGCGGCTCTACGTGACCCGAGTAGCCAAGGAGAGTCGGAGACTGTGAAGCTGTGCTGAGCCATTCCTTTGTTCAAAGGAGCAGGAGTCGTCGAGGTGTGTTTT